ATGTTATTCTTTAAGATACGTTGTGTTTAAAGAATTGCAAAAGTTTGGTAACTGAACCTTTGGTTTAACTTCTTGGGTAAAACAGAGAATGACGGTTCCATGATAATAAATCAAAACATTGATGTGGAATTTCAAGGAGAGGTTGATCAGTAGAATGACAGAGTACACTATATTCTCTTCAAGTTTCCTTTTATTCTGCTTTCCTTGAGCACAGAAAAAGAATATTTGCTCAATTTAACAAATTCACGAAACCTAGAAAATGTATACCTTCCTGGTCAGAAGGTCATTTATTTACCCCTGGGGTAGGCGGCCCCAAATCTTCCCTCTTTGCATCCATGCCCTTTGCAACGTGACTGTATTTCCTTCTATTAAGAGGCAGAGTTTTCGCCTCCTCTTTATTCTGAGTTTGGCCACGTGACTTGCTTTGACCAACAGGACGTTAACAGCTGCAGTGAAAGCAGGGGCTTGAAGAAGGGCTTGCCCTTTTCCCCTTCTGCTCTTGCTCCTCTCCCTTAGCTGGGGGGACCTTCAAGTCAGCGTGTCGGAGGATGAGTCACAAGGAGTCAAGCCAAGTCATCCCCGCATCTCGGATGAGGTCATCCTAGGTCAGCCAATTACCAAACGCTGGGGGAGCCTGTGGAGCCCAGCCTAAGTTACGACCCATGAGGTTTAAGCCTCTAAGGTCTGGAGAGGCTTGTGGCAACAGAGAACTGATATATGCCCACAAGAGCACGAGTGTGAAATGGACAAGGAATCCAGTGCTAAAGAAGAAATGGAAAGACAGGTGTTTTTTCATTGTCAGACGAATGATCCTGGACTGATTAGAAATAAGCCCTGGAAACCCAGGTTAGTTTTTAGATCTACACCTCATTCCTCAAGCTTCATTCTCCTCTGCCTCTTCTCACTATGACCCTGCCCCCCAGCCCTAATCAGACTCAGCTTAACTGGAAAATCTTCAGCAAGTAAGCAGAAAGGATATGATAATGTATCAGGAAATAAAGGATGGAGAAAAGTGATCATATGACACTTAAACTGGAGGAAAAATTCTGGAAATGGCAATGGTGTTAGAGTAATATATTTTCATATTTGGACCCCATGTCTGGTATTATATGTGTAATGTTGGAAGATTTGCTTTTGTTGTCATGTATAATATGGAGATATCTACTTTATATACATTTTTTTGAAGAATAATATAGGAAAGACAATTGGAACAGAATAGTGGAAATTGCATAAATTATGGCTCTTTGCTCATGGCCAGGAGGCATTGCCTGTTCATGAGTGCTTCGTGTCTTAATCTTGATCACAGATCACATCTCCTTTGCATGGTCACTTCATGAAGTAGAACACAGTGCCTTTTATCTTCCTACCTGCAAGAGTTAGCCTAGAACCCAGTAAAGTATTCTTAATATCTATTAAATGAATAAATGAATCAATAAAACAAATCTCAACTGTAAGTAGCAAAACAGTTTTTTGCCACAAATGCATTGGCTCCTGGATTTCCACTGGTGTTTCAAAAGGCAAAGCTTGAAAAAGGCTTCCTTATTTAGAATCCAGCAGTACTCGTGATTCCATTTCTTGCCTAGATCACAGGGCTGTGGCCGAGGTTTACAGAAGAAATGTTAATTATATGGAGGTAAAACTGAGGTGGCAAGAAAAGACTGGGTCTGTGTCCATCCCTGTCTTATGCCCCATCTGAAGTGAAGACTCTCAGTGGGACACTCGGTTGCAGCAAAAGGGCGGTTAAGCATTTGACCCCATAGGATGTCTCCATATATCCCCATTGGAAATATGAGCTCCGAGAACATGAAAACTTTTACTTGTAAGGGCCCATGTTATGAGTGCAGTTGAGTGGATGAGCCATGAGGAGCTGCATAAAATAAGTGGAATATCATGTAAATTGATCTGAAAATTACTGGTAGTTATACTATCTCCAACGAAATGATTTGCGCTGGTTCCAGAAGTCTCTTTCCTTCATTAACAGCCGTAATGCTCTGAGCGGTGGGAAAGTTATGGAAACCGAAGAAGCAGGCTTGCAGGGCTCAGACTTACCTGCTCCTGGGAAGGGCACACTTGCCACACAGATCTTTAAGAGCTGTAGTTTGCCACAGGGAAGTGTAGAGCTGTGGCCATGTCTTCTGCTCTCACCCTTCCTCTCCTTCTTGGCGTCTAGCGTAGTGGCGTGCAATGTCTGGACTGCGAGCTCGTGTCCTGGAGATAAATGCGGGGCTTTACATCCATTAATTTTCTTAAGTGAAGCCAGTTGTTAGTTGGAAGGCTGTATGTATTGGCTGGTACATCTTAACTACTCTACTTCTTGTTTTAATGAGTTTGGGTGTGAATGCGTGCTTGTGTTAGTGTGTGTATGTGCGTGGGTGCGTGTACAGTGATGCATGCAACAAAGGATGTATTTTTCACTTCTCGGCAGTAGTGATTATATTCTGTATATTCTGTTCCTCTTGCAATGGGCTTAGCCTCGGCCACTGTGCTAAGAGAAAATGGGAGAACCTAGATGTATCACACCCCTCATTTCATTTCTTTTCAAAACATCTGCTTCAGAGTCACAAAAAGCTGAATTACAGTGTTCTCCCCGCTATTTCACCACTCATCTTGAACAAATCACCTCTCTCTGAATCTTAGTTTTACCACCTGTATATGGGGACTCACATTTACAGGTACATTGAATTGGGCAGAGATCTGCAAAGAAAAAAGCAACGATATGAAAGCAGCAAGCAGAATTTACAATCTTATTTTTATTCTTCTCGCTGTGTTTGATTTATTCTAGGAATTTTGATAATCATACTCTTAAATCATTTCTAAAACTGTCAGTAATTTGCATCATGGTTGGGCCAGGAGATCGCAAAATTGAATATTCATATAAGTGCAAATCATTTCATTTCTTCTTCTCTACAGACCTGGAGCAAATGAACTTTAGTTCAAATTTTCATCAGCAAAGATACTAAGTAGGTGCCCTTGCTCATTTGCAGAACAGCCACCTACTATGCTGCATTCCAATTTATGGTCTAAAATATGTTTAACACCTATTACAAAACATTTCCTAATGTCCTCCTGAAGATTCCTTTCTGTGATTTACAGTTTTCCTAGAAGACCATATAATCAGTTAACATGCATTTATTAAGTCCCTGTTCTGTGGCCAGTACTGGGTTTGCTATTGAAGATGCTACTAAAGAGATATAAGAAAACCTCTGCTGACCAAGAGCTCAAAATTCATTTTATTGTGTCCATGTCAACTGACCTCTTAGAAGAAAAGCATGGCATGCATTGGAGTAGTTGGAGAAAACTCTTTGAAAGTGATGCGCTGAGCTGATAGGCAATGAAAGAGAAGCATACAGAGGGATGGATCATATAGGAGCACATAAAATTGTGCAGGCCGTGCACTGCCCAGCCCTGGGGAGTATCATTCACACAGACCGTAAAGCAAATTACGCTTCTTAGAGTTGTGCAGTGTACAACCTGCCGAATGAAACATGACAGCTCTGATAAAGAGCGTAACTTAGTGGGAGTGAAGGGCAGTTAGGGCAGGGATGGTGCCTGAGCTGTAGGTTCCTGTGAATCACACCTACGACATTTCACAGTGATGGGGCCTTATACTTAATTATCTTTTCTAAATCTCAGTTTCTCCAGCAGTAAAATCAGGTTTATAAAGTAGTTCCTCACTCACATAATTGATGCGGGGATCCAAGAAAATGAGGACAGTTGCGTATTCATTCAGTGCACTACTGCTCACAGTCGTCCGTTTTAGTTTCCAGTTGTTGGTACCACTTTTATTTTTAATTAAGAGCTGGGGAGAGTCTCTTAGCCGCCCCATTATTCAGGTTACTCAGGAAACTTTGAATGGGGAGTGTGCATGCATGTGTGTGTGTGTGGTGATGGAGAGGTTGGTATAGCATCTTTCTCAATAAAGATTCAAAAGGGCAAAGGATTACCTTTGGTGGACATTTGAGCAACCTTGAAACCCATGGATTAGTCTCTATAATCTTATAAACATTTTAGTGCCTTTTGATAGATGATTCAAGGTCTGCTGATAAGAAAATACCTTGGCTGGTCCTGGTTTACTGTTTGTTTGTGTTTTTTTTTTTTTTAGAGTGAAAATATATACATTGGCGTCACCACTTCACATGGTTATAATGCTGGATTTTGCCAGTAAGAGTAAGGCTGTGAGAGGTGATTATTTCTGAAAAAAGGGGTATGGAAGCGTAAGATCTCTTAATGGATGTCCCCCCACCAGAAATGCACCCACTGACTAGAAAGACACCCAGATGCCTGCAATTCCTATCTTCCTGTTCAGGAGGGGTGTGTGTGTGTGTGTATGTTGGAGACAGGAGCAGGGAGAATGGGGATATGGAGTTGTATAGAATTTTTATAGATTTGCTATAAGGATATTTGGACCTTACTCCAGCTTCCTGCTTGCTTAAAAGAAACTAAACATTTTAAAATACATATGTCTTCTTAGTTTATAAATGTTTTTAATCAAAAAGTATAGGCATACAATAAAAATCTGAAAAATAAGATTACGGTGTTTTTTCTTTTTCCTCTTATTGTTATTATTCCATTTCCCCTTGGTCTCTTTCCCATACATTCGGGGAGGTGGGGTGGGGAGGGCTTTAATCACAGTGTATCTTCCTTTCTCACTGTTAACATAACTGTTTTTCATGTTGCTAAATCTTTTTCATTACCATTCATTTTAATCTCAATGTAGCACCATAAGACTAAACATAAACATTTTATGAAATCATCATCCTACTATTGGACAGCTTTATGGTTTCCAGTTCTTTATTATAAATACTGCCTGATGGTCATCTTAGTGCATGATTTATTTCCCACATTTTTTTCCCCTTTTGTAAAGAATTTACAGAATAGCTTTACTGGTAAAAGGGTATGAAGATTTGCATTGTTAAATATATTTCGTGGGGACCTATTTCTCAAGAAGATGTAGACTTTTTGGTTTCGCCAGCGCATCCTTCTACATTCCCACTTCCTAGTCCCCAGGTCCCTTCACCAACACTCCTTCCGAAGGATACAGAGCATCAGTGCTGATGCGGAACTTGAGGAAATCATCCCTGCAGGCAGTGTAATTCTAGCAGAAGACTGAATCATTCTGTTTGTTAAAAAAAGAAAAAAGTAAAATCTAAATTACATCTAAAGTCAAATATGTTCTGATCTTTACTTCCCTTGTTACCAGATGTAGGGAGTAAAAATGTACCTTCTATGGATGAGACTGGCAGTGGCTGAGTAGCTCAGCATGGATTTGGTGTTAAGGAGAGCGTGGGAATTACAAGCAGCTCCCCTGTTTCTAGAGCAGTGCCGGGGAGGCCCCGGCGCTGAACCAAAGGGATGCATGAAAAATGGCTTAAATATTAAGCAGCTACCTCCTGTCATTCTGGTCTGAGTGGGTGAAGAAAATGCATACATAAAAATTAAATAAAAGAAAAGGGCTAAAAATAAAATCATACAAAGCGCATGAAGCTGAAACTCTGAATACAAATACAATTACACGTCTTTGGGTGAAATCCATAACCAGTTTTTGGCAACCCACCTGACTCGCTCATTGAATTGCAAAATGAGAGAATATAAATCAGAGTTGACAACGAGGTCTTATTTCCCTCTTTAGAGGTTTTAACTGAATAATAAATCACATGGTTCCAGCACCATGGACCTCTTAGGATTCAGGACCATTCTGTTTGTTGGTGCCTCCAAACAGTAATTCCTACTGTGTGACCCATGTAGAGAGCAAACCTCCCTTCCTCTTGCTGTCGCCTCCCGTTCTAATTAAGCAGATCAGCAAGGAGAGAGAAGGTTTGCTTACTCAAGGCAGCGAGGGCAGAACTGGCTATTCATTTGAACAGTCTCTGGGTTTCAGTTCTCTCTGTGTGTCCCCATCAAATTATTTTTTAAGATACAATTTTCTCAGATATTACGTGTAGTACATGGGTATCTGCCTGTTAAAAATTCCAGCACTCTGATATGTAGAAAACAATAAATTGTCATTTTAGCTCGCCCTCCCCTCCCGTCACCTCAACCGTCTCAGGACTCACTTCATTAATATATTTAGCCATATAAGCATACAATGTCTCTCACTCCATACTTTTCATACACATTTAGATAAATTCACATCTATGTATTATATACAAACATGCATACATAGTTTAGTTTTTTAAAGTAAACAGTATGTTATTATACACATTATAGTATACTGTATGCATGTATGTGTAATTGTTCTTCCACAGTTTAGAATACCATTTTTCCCACATACTTGCCAATACTGGATATTATAAATATATTTGCTAAACTAGAATGGAAAAATGTTGCCTCTTGTCATTTTATATTATATCCCTAATTACTAGTAAAATTGAATTTTTTAAGTGTTTAGTGCCTGAATTGTATTTCTTTTTTTGTAAATTTCCTAATCATATTTTTTTCTAATTTTTTTTCTCATGGTTCTTTGTTTTTCTAATTTTTTTCATATATTTATATGTGTGTGTGTGTGTCTATGTGTTTTTTCTTTCTAGCCAAAAGTATTTACTTAAGATTTTTTGTTGACTGTGATATACTAGGAAGAAGGAGGTAGGAGTAAGGATTGAGGAGAGAAACATAAATCATGTCGTTGTCTTACAGTGTTGTCCTACAGAGGTAGCTATTCTTGTAGTTTAGAAAAATAGATGGCACTTTGTAAGATCTGAGAAAGATTATGAAACATAAATTTTAAGGATTAAACGAGTATGTATGTAAAACCACTGACTTTTAGTATGTTTCCCACTCACCTCTATATTTTAGTTTATTTTTTTCATCCAGCATCTAAGTACAAATTTCTAATGAATCCAATGGATAGTTTTTATGCTGGACAAGTGACAAGGTATACATTTTAAAATTTGGTCCTTGATGTAGTTACCCATCATCACATTTCTCTTGCTTACAGAACAGATCTCTATTTCTCATCAAGAACAGATAGGTATAAATGGTAAAACGTACAATTTCTTAAATTTAAACTGCTCTTCCAACCTGATACCCAGTTCCTGAATAAACATTATCGATTAAATTTCTGTCAGTATACAGATGTTTGAAATAAAATCAGATGCCTTCCTCACCTGCACTTTTCACTCGCTTTCTTTACCATGGATGTGAAATGTATGACTTCACAATTCAAATGCCTGTACAGGCAGACCTCGTTTTACTATGTCTCGATGTTATGCTTTGCAGATACTATGTTTTTGAAAAAATGAAGATTTATGGGAACCTTGTGTCTAGCAACTCTATCATTAGTTACCACTGCCTTTCTGAATGAGTTCTGTAGGGAAACAAAAATTTGCAACACAGATGCAAGAGTGTTTTGTTGGATTACTTTGTATTGGAAGTCTGATATGGGCTTTAAAATATTAGGTCCCTGAAGATTCTGGGGGGAGAAAAAAACAGGACAGAATAAACAAATCACAAAATTCCTGGGATTCAGAACGTGGTACATTGATTCTTTATCTCTTCGCCTTCAGCTGAAGAGTGCAATCAGAGACTCAACTGAGCCTCTTCTAAGGGCCCTCGATGCTACTCTGGCCTCACTTCAGTGACGGTGTTAAACCTCTTTGAAGACCTCAAGCCCTGACTTTTCACTGTTACTCGATCTCTTTGCAGTCAGTCTTGACTCTTCCAGGACCAACATTAAGGTTTCTTGATACACATTCCTGCAACTTTGTTCTCTGTATCAAATCTCCCAGTATCTTCACATCATTTTTCTTGTTTTCTTCTTGCTTCCTCTCTTCAGAGTTGGACACCTTCCTTCATACATTTAATTCCATTCCCTCCAGCTTGCTCTCTTGCTGGCCTCAACGCACCACTTTTCCCTTCTCTTTAATCTTGAACAGTTCATTCTTCAAAGACCCTCCCCTCCTACTAACAAAGGTCACTTCCTCTTAGTCTCCAAAAACAAAGAGACAGTTCTCCCCTCAAACAACAACAAAACAAATGAAAAACAACAACAGAACAAGACTATTCTTTAATTTATTACCCATTCAAACTACCCATAAAAAAAAAAATAAGGTCAAGCCACCAGAGCTATTCACCAGGAAACTAAAATTTGGGGGGCACAATATTTTAGGAATAGATTTTTTTTTAAAAATGCAAAGGTAAAAATTCTTCTCTAGCAAAATTCCCTCACTACTTCTCTAGCCATTTTTTAGCTTCCGTCTGCCACTGGCTCAGCCCCTTGTCCGTGGACTCTGGTGGAATGAAGACCTGGCCATAGACAGGTGGCCTTCTTGCTTTGGGTCCTTCTCTCCCGTGATATCCAGTGGTGTGGAAGCAACTCTTTTATTGTTGTTTTTTCCTGCATGTCTTGAGAAACGTATAGTCAGTATGCATGGTTTAGGGCTATTTTTATTTCACTTAAGAGCAGCTGGTTTTTTCCCCTACCCTTGGGTCTTTCATCCCTCGGTATCTGGCTCCCATGGTTCAGCTGAAACTGCCTTTCTATAAATAGGTCATTTATAGCCCTGTACTCACTAAATTACATTACTTTTGAAACTTGTCTTACATGTCTGGCATCACCATAATATTTGAAAAAGTTGGTCACCTCTGGTTTGAAATATACCTACTGTCTCAGAAAATACTGAACGTGGTTTTCATTCCTGTTGCTGACGTCCGTTCTTACTTCGGTTTCTGTTCTCAGCGTATTTTCTTTGCAAGGTCTCCCTTGATGGTAACATTCCATTTTACAGTTTAAGGGGGACACTCACATGGACACCTGCACTTTGAACTTCCCTCCTGCACTCTGCATCAGCATTTCCAAATGTCCCATGGAAATCCCTGCAAGGAATTCCTGCCTCAAGCTCAACAATATTCAGAAGCAAACTCTTTATTTCTTCCGTTGATTCTGCTCTTTTCTGAGATTCTGTTTTTCCCTGGGACCTTCCAGTTTTTTCCCTGTTGCTCTACTCACAGATGGCTCCAAATGCTTTAGGTTTTTTCTTGACAGTCTCAGATCTATTTCTTCTTTTCAATTCTCTACTTCCCCCACCCTAACTCTTCCCAGGTCCTCCATAAACCTTCCCTGGACTAAATTAAACGCCAGTATATAGGTCACTAGTGTGCCATCTATGTTTTGTTTTTCACACATTATGACCAGGTTAATATCTTTTGTTCAAAAAATTTCAACATTTTAAGATAGATTTAGCAGATCATGTCCCTGGGCTCTTTTCACACCTTATAGTTGTGCTCATTATGGAAATTTACTCAGTGTATTGTAAATATTTCTAGATATATCTCTCCACTATTCTATTAGCATCTTGATGACAAGGATCAAGTATTTTTCCTCCATGTCTCTCATGCCTAATATGATTTCTGACATGTAATAGGTTACCCCACAACACTGGTGTTGTATGTTTGTGGATGGAACACCTGCTCTTGCTTACCAAGTGAAATTAAATGGATAACTGTGACTTGGTCCTGACTTACCTTTCCAGGCTCATCTTCAGTTCCTTCACCTCGCCAAATTGCCCACGTGTTAGAAATCCCTACACCTTTGGAAATTCGGTTTCTTCCATCATAAATGGCCCAAGTCCTTCTGCTTCCTTGCCCCACATTGCCGTTGTCCTAAAAGACCTGTACAAAGTATCAAAGGAGAATGGATTTTGAAGTTCAGCTTTGGATTTGAATCTGACCTCTGTTCTTCTCGTCCCATGAGTTTGGCAAAGTCGCTCCCAATTTTACAGTTAAAATGTAAAATCCTACCATTCTATTTCTCTCAAGATTTATAGTGAAAATAAATTTGATGTAATGATGTGAAACTGTTTTATAAATTGTATACTAAAATTTCTGGCTCAGCTTTCTAAATTTTCCTCCTAATGTTTCTAAATTCCTTCTTGGGTTTCTTCTATTCCCTCTATCCCTCTTAACTTTTTCTGTACTGAATGAGGTGAGAGGTACAAAGTAGTATCTTAAAATATAGGAACTTAGTTGTATACTACAGTTATATATGTTTGCATAGATTATTTATAACCAGGAGAATGCCCTGCTCATCTTTGAATACCACAGAACCTATAAAAATAGTTGGATAAAAATTAGCAATGATTGGAGGCTAAGAAGACAGGGTCATTATTGCTTGTGTGGTTCTAACTTTTGAATTGACTGTGTTACTTCTGAGCAGGAAAGAAGGGAGGAAAAGACTCCTTTGGTTTCATAAGTCTCAAATTTAATTGTGACGATTGTTGATAACTTTGGAAGAATAATTTAAAAAGTAATAGAAGAGTCCTTTGCTCCTTATGCAAAAGCTGAATGATTATCCTGCTGAGATCACAAACCACTGTTTTGTTTGTTTCTCTCCTTCCTTTTTTTTTTTTTAGACCAGGATAGGAGTAGTTTGCTTATTTCAAAAGCTTAATTCTTGTTGTTTTTGAAAGGAATTTTTTATTCATTTGAGCCCATAGAAATTTTGAAATTGCAGAAAATTTCTATTGATTTTTTTTTTTTTTACATAAAAATAGGGACTGTTTCTCTCAGGAGTCACACTGCCTGCTCTTCTGGGTGTCATCCTGCAGGTTGGTAGGTACTTGTTTCTCACTTGTTTGCTGAGTCACTCCCAGAGCCATGTAATTGGTCTCTGCATAAAACAACAGCTTGCCCATCTCAGATAACTGGACAGACAGCCGTGAGCTCTCATCTTTCTTAGACTTTCTGGATGTTTGTTGAAGGCTCCATTTTACCCCTTTAATTTACCTCTGAAATGAATAGCCCTTTCACCATGCAATGTATAGTCAGATAAATGTAATTGTGAAAAATGCAAATCCAAAGTTGTGAAATTAAAATATGAATGAAGTCTGACTTTTGTGAACATAATACCAAATTATGCAAATGCCTTGAATTGAAATTTTTTTTCCAGAATCACAAAATTCCAAAGTTGGCAGGCAGAACAAGCTGTCTTGACATTGTGACTGCCACATGGCAGTGCCACTTTTGCTGGTAAACAGAGCTATTTGCCATCACTTGACAGGATTAGTTTCACAAATGCATATTTCAAATTAAGTGTGGCCTTCAGGATTTCATCTCTCAAATAAAATGTGACCATTTCGCATGCAAATGATAAGAAAAATTGCTACACAGAAGTTCTGCTTAATCGGTAATCTGTGATAAACAAGAAATTTATATGGATGGATAAGGAAAATGGGTGGAAGAAAAGTCAGAATCCAGGAACAGATGGTGGTAGT